AAACTCCTCTGTTGAATGCTGTTTTTAGTTGTGTATGCTTCTCGCATAACCCTCAAATCCATTTGGTGAATCAAATGCTCCTTTTACTACCGAGAAACTTTTGGTCACATATGTTGATGTAACAAACTCCTCTGTTGAATGCTGTTTTTAGTTGTGTATGCTTCTTGCATAACCCTCAAATCCATTTGGTGAATCAAATGCTCCTTTTACTACTGAGAAACTTTTGGATACATATGTTGATGTAACAAACTCCTCTGTTGAATGCTGAGAAACTTGATGTAACAGACTCCTCTGTTGAATGCTGTTTTTAGTCCTTTGTAGAGAAACACTGGCATTTGAGTCTTAATAACTATGTTGTAGATGAGATCAATGAAATCTTGATTTCCCTTGTTTGGCATTAGAACATTATCAACTGTTATCTAAGAGCAAGTCAGTTCAACATTGATATGGAACATGTGTTGAATAAGAGCAGCATATTTTTTGCAGCATATATGGTTGCTATGACAGGTGCTGATCCCTCGTGTGTTAGTTAGTTCCTTTAATGATGTTAAGAGTGGCTTTCTTGCTGTATATTGTCATATCTTTTGTTTTCCCTAGCTATACCATGTAGTACTTTGCCTTCCAGCAGTCTTATGACCTCTGAATGTCAATGAAGACCTGTTATTGCTATTTTCACCTAACTAGTGTGGAGAGGGTTGATATTCTGCTAGTAGAGTTGTACCAGGGACCAACCACATAAAAAAACATACAATTTATATAGTTGTATTTATTATAAATGTTAACTTACACAGTATATTGAAAATTGTATTTGTGGTTCATTACTTTCAGCAGTCCAGAGGCAAGCTAGCTTTATGGTTTACAGTTCTATCTTTGTTGTGCTGGTTGTGGGAAGCTTGAGTGCTTCACCAGTTTCATGCAGAAAGTTGTTGCTCCACAAGATGATGAATGCCCAACTAGCTCTCTTGCTCTCTGTGATGGAGGAACCATCTGTGATTATGATGACAGATGACTGTCCATTGTGGTCTTTAAACAGGTGCTGATGGGATTTTTCTGAATCATCCTCTGGCTAATTTCCACAGTCCCCAGTGGTGCCAGATATGCATTCCACATGGGGGAATCTGAAGTCGGGTGATGACCAATTGTCCATGCTACGGCTGTATGGCCCCAGTGATGCCAGATATGCATTCCACATGGGGGAATCTGATGTCAGGTGATGACCAATTGTCCATGCTACGGCTGTATGGCACCAGTCCACCAGAGATTATCTCCCAAGGTGCATTTTAGGAAATCTTCTGCTTGATTAGTGTTTTGGAGGCTGTTATGGAGCTGGAACATCCTAATTGAAAAGGGAAGTGGCTCGATAGAAAGCATGGTCATTAGGGACTAAGTACTCAAAAACAAGCAGAAACCCAAAACTTATTTTGATACATTTTCCAAACTGGTTGTCAAAGTTCATCAACTTTGACAGGGTTGCCTGCTATTTTTGGTGTGAAAGTTGGCCAAAAACTTAGGTATTTCAGTGTATGCAATAACCATTAGTAATTTAATAAGATCAGTAACAGACAAAATAACGTTTATGAAATGTTTGACCAAAGGGAACAATGGATGGGCTTCATTAACACCCAAATCTTTAAGAACAAAGAAAATAGCAGATTTTGCTTTCAAAGAAGAAAGTTTTCTTCTTTTCCCTTCTAGTTTTATTTGTATTATTTTTTCAAAATTCTCTTTGACCTTTTTTCCTTGATACTTTTCTTTCACTGGATATCCCATCATTGTCTTAAAACAAAATTCTTCACTGAAGCCTTACTGTGATGTCTAAGTGATACAACAATAAAGAATGAAAGATTAATACTACCTGTTGTGATGACGTGAAAATTTATCACTACATTTTAGGGATTTGGGTCTGATTAAGTCACACATTTAGGGTTAAATTGTTTGAAAGAATAGATATTTATAAATATGGAGTTTCCTAAAAAACTTGATTATATAGCTGTATTCATTACATATGTTTAAGTATAAACCATAATGAGATTTGTAGAAAGTATATAATTCTGTTTACTGTATGTCCAGTTATTATCTTAAAAAAAGATTTTTACACATATAACACTTGATAATGTTCTAGATTTATTGTTTATTAAATTTCTGTTCAAAATCATCAGATAATTGTCATTTTCTGTTGAATTGGAAAGTTTTACTACAAAGGATAAAAATATTGTAATATTAAAGTAGTGATCTCTCCCTGTTATTAATGTGTATAGTTTGAAAATAAGAAAAGATTGCTCTTTACTGAAACAAACTTCCAGTTACGATGATCTGTACATCATACCTATATAGGATCAGTTTTTGGTCTATTTCTCTTTATGTTAGTCACCTATAAATGTTGTTTGGGCTAAACACACTTCACTATTATTATGTGAAGAAAACACGGTAATCCATGGTCCTTTTAGTTTCACACGTTTCTTGTCTTTATTCAACCAGATATTCTTTATATAGTATTGTTTTTGGCCCATAAATTTATTGCACTTTAATTTAAATTGAATGTAAATATTATCTGACCTAAACATGTTTCATTACTCTCACATAAAGAAAATGCAGTAATTCAGAATCCTTGTATTTCATATACTAAGACTTAGACAAACACAAGGCTATAAAGTTCTCAGTTCAAAATGTAATCTCTATATACACAAACCTGAGACAGAGAAAAATAGATTTTAATTCAAGTAATGTGCTGCATGTACAGAACTTCAAGAGAGAGAGGAGTCTTATTTCCAACAGTAGGCTCTATGTGAATAGGCTTGATGCAAATATAGAATGAAAGGTCATAATTCAGATAGTAGGCTTGAAGCCTTGGACTAAGATGTCTTAGTTCAAACAGTAATCCATATATTTAGAAGCTTTAGAAAAAGACACACATAGAGGTTTTAGTTTGGATTGTGAACTACATGTAATAAGCCCTAAGACAAATACTGTCATTAGCATAACTTACATTCTGTTTTATTTATCTTCGTATCTCTCTCTTTCATATCTACAACACTTCGTTAGTTTTATTTAAATTATACAGTTTCTGAGGCAAAGTTTTTTTTACTCTTATGTATTTTAGTTTTTAAGAGTGATGCTGTTTTATCACAAAATGCTTACATGTATGTTTTTCATGTGGTTAGTTGTATTTATTCTATTATATTAAATTATGTGACTACCTATAGATCAACAAACTTAGTTGTTGCTTTTTTATCGTGTCTTTAGAATTTGTGTCTTGTGTTCAGACACCATGTGGAAGAAGAAAACCATACACCCGAAAGGCCAAATATTCGTGTTTTAGCTATTCAATCCATGGTGGAAGATTTTGTAAATGCTTGTTGCTTTCATTTATGGACTGGAATGGTTGGTTAAGCAACATTTTTCTTACCCCAGGTTAATATAGCAAAACAGTCGGACTTTGCCAGCTGTGTGGTATGATGGATGTTTCAGTTCTATGTGATAGAAAAACAAAGTGAGAAATAATTATATAAGTAAATACCAATTTATGTGAATTGAAATAAAATACTGAAATAAATTTTCCTTGAAATCATATGTATTAATAAAATAATGTACATAAAATAATAAGTTTTTGAAGTGTAATGTACTTACATTTTAATGGTCATTTTAGACCATATTTTGCTACATTTACTGAATTAAAATTTGAAATTAAGATTTGAAAACTTTAGTGTTGTTAATATTTACAAAAGATCTGAACTAGTTTTACCTTAAAATAGATCAGGTTGTTAATAGTGAACAAGGAGTGAACAAGTTAATAGTGAACAAGGAGATTTGAAGTGAAAATTAATCAGAACTACTTTAAAATAACATAGGTTATTCAGAATAGTTTGTTTGGTAGAGTAGTTACAGATTAGTCAACTATAGGATTTAAATAATTAGGTTTGTAAAATATCTACAGGTTATTTTAAGACAACTTTATAGGAGTTTTCAAATTTTTTGTTAACAAATCTAAACATTTTCTAAAACGTTTTATATCAGTGGACTTGACAGGATACGCTTTTCATTAATATGTAATCATGATTTTCATAATGTGTGGATACAAAAATATATATAGGCTGGTAATGTGTAAACCTTTTAAAAACTTATTTAGAAATTGAATAATTGGGTTCAGTATTGTAATGTATATTTGTTTTCTTCGCCAACCAGTTTTTCCTCTACATGTACGTATCGTTTTTTTTAATACACATACTATATAGAAATGTTTAATTTATTTCCTTTCAACTGAAGCCATTAGGATTTGAATTTTGATAAATAAACTTATTATGATGACTGTTAAACATATGTTTATATATAAATATGCATGAATATTATATTTACAGTTAAAATAAAGTTTTATAATATGTAATGTGTGGCAAGAAGTAGAATATGAATTAAAAAGCATACGTTATTGTGAATGAAAAATGTGTTAATGTATTTGAGATCTGGTCCAACATATGAAGTAAAGTTGATCAGTATTTTGATGTATTTTCCTTAATTTAATTGAAGGATTTGAGGAGTACAAGCTCTATGTAAAAGCAGAAGATTTACGTAGTAGTAGGTCAAATTTAATATCAGTGCTTTATCACTACGATTTTAAACTGGTTCTAAGTACACAAGTATTTGTAAGTAATATTTATATATATATATACTTTTTTAAAAGTTTCTGTGTTAAATAAACGTAGAGGAAAATTGTAAATCTGCTTATTGTATTTGTTGTACATGTGCATGTAAGATAATGCTCTCTGTACATGTAAGTAATATCTGTTTGAAATATATTATTAAAAAACTGTTAAATACTCATCAAAATACAGCATGTATATCTGCTAATATATGTATCATTTATTCGATTGTATAACTTTTTGGCTATAAATAGTTGGTTGTTAAAACTAAAATGATTAGAGGAAAATTTAAGGAATCTTAATCAGTCATTTGGTCTCAGATTAACCAGAAAAATTTGAGGAAAATAGTATTCTGACATCCATACTGCTTTTTGGTATAGAAGCTAATATTAAAAACATATATATGCATATATTCTCATTAAATGTAAAATGTTTGGCTGAATTTGTTCTCCAAACAAATTAAAATTTACTTGTGTTAAATGACTGCTATATGGCAAATGAATTGGAACAAGTAATTTGTAGTTATAGTTTAATTAGCAAAGAAATAAAATATACATTAATTGTGTATGTATCTGAATTCTTTCTTTTACATTAAATATTTTTAAAATTCTATTTCTGAATGTTTCTCTAGTATGCAAGTTATAATTATCATAAAAAATTATAAAACTTTATGAATATTGTTGAGAACCGTTTTATAAAAAAATCAGATATTATTTAGACTTGATATTATACAGCATTATAAACATTACTTAAAGTTGTTGATTTATTCGTATGTGTAAAAAGTTAATGTTCTTGTTATAAAAAAACTTGCCAGTTGAATTTTTTATATATATGGTACAAAGATATAAATTTTTAAAGAGTAATCAGTATTTATTTCAATTAATGAACAGAAATTATTAGGCTTTTAATTAGTGAATCATTAGCTTAAAAGCGAGTGTTATCTTGCTCAGTCCTGTTTATTAGCCTAACCCTTTAGACAGTGGAAGGATAAATATTTAAAATTAAGTGATTAAAATTCTGATTAAAAATAATATATATTGCATACAGATAGAGGACTTAAGATCCATCCAGCCAGGGTTAAAAACTAATCTTGTGTGTGAATATGCAAATGAATGGAAGAGTAAGAATTTGTGAACTTTTTGAACTCTGAACAGTAAGGCCTGGCATGGCCAGGTGGTTAGGACGCTCGACTCGCAATCTGCGGGT